TTCTTTCTTCTTTCATTTTTTCAAACTCGCTCACTCTATCTCAAACACGACAGAACAACTGACACTTCAAGGAAAATGTTTCCAAATATTTCATACACTAAAAACTAAAAACCGTGTCAGTGGCTTTTAATTTCTCGTTGGAGTCCTGAATAACGTAGTAGTAGGTGTAGGATAAAAGGCTGTCCTAAAGGAAGAACATAACGACTTTTAACTTTTAACTTAAAAGTTCCTGTTGAATGCAGACTTTCTTGAGCACCCTGGGATTAGTAAAAGTAATATAGCAATACTAGTGATATATTTAGATGATTTTATCTCCCCCCTCCCCTCCATTTTGCTTCTTCTAGACAACATAATCCCTTTAATTCAAGTGTATTTTTAAGTACTTTGATATTAATACCAGTATTACATAGCATATAGCGCTTACAAGGTATCCAAAGTTTACCAAATATCTCGTCCACAGGATGACCTACCATGAAGTCAATGAATTCCTATAGTCTTTACTTTGATATTGTTAGAATAGCGACCTCTTTATCTTGGGTGTAATGTTTTCCCATTTCAGACCACGTGTCATTCTCTTGAGAATTAGATTTTTCGTTTTTGTTGTGTCCATATTCATGTGTCTTCTTATGGACAACCGTTAAACATAGAAATGATGCAATAGAGAATGTAACATGGTCAGAAATGGGAATACATTACACCCAAGGTACTGAAGAGGTCTATTGTCTCCTTACGTTTACATCTACTATATGCGGTTTATGCCATGCGTATCATATGGTCACGTCCATACACTTCCCCAACCCCCAGGGAGAGGAATACCGGGGAGAGGATTACCTTCTCACTTCTCTCCCCTGGGTCGCATTCCCTGGAAGAAAAATTGCCTTGCCCAACATTTTTACGTTAAATACACAGGTCAATATACTAATGCACTTTTAGCTCAGCTAAGAATATTACCCGGCTTAAGTTTCGACTAGACTTTTTAGTTCATACGAATATTTCGTGCAAACCACTCCTGTTTGAATTCCAAGGTTACAGGGCTGAGAGGGGTATCTTTAGAATTCAATTAATGACCCCATACTATGCCGGTGGGGGGGGGGGGATTTTGTAACCTTTTCATTACTCAATACCCGGGGCTGTGACATATTACTAAAAGAGTGTACAGTGTGAAAAATCTCCGGTATTAACATCACCCTTATGCTTCACTAATACCCAGCAAACTCTAGGTGACAGTCTCTATAAAATCTCAGGTACTATCATACACCAACTTGGGCCGATATCCCCGGTACCCGACAGTGACCAAAATCGGCTATATGCAGTCATTTGGGAACTCTAGTGTATGATCGGAAATAACACACTTTCCACACTACCATCACCAATTTGGTCCCCAATATCGGGTACTCCCCGGTACCCTGCAGTACCCGGTACCCAGCAGTCCCCTGTACCAGCCGGTCCGTGTACTTATTAAGGAAGAAAGCGACTCCACACTTTAGATTTGCTCCTTATTTCCACAGTGAATAGCGTGCGCCTTTTTGCTTCATTGTAGCTGCTGAAAAGGTTAAATTCTTGTATTCGATGTCATAGTACTCTTTGTCAGTACTTGTCAGTACTTTGTCGTGGGCGTTACATCACACGAGCCCTTGCATCGTTCAGACGCCAATTCGTGCTCTTCTGTGTTTTTCTATCAATAAGGATATCTCATCACCGCTAATCAACTTGAAATTTCTCGATATCATTTCAATGAAATTATTGCAGTTGTTGATTTTTTTTACTATAAATATCGTTATATCCATCGAGATCWAGAGTTAGAACTATTATAGATAAGTAGATCAGTACCGTGCAAAAAGCGTTTGGAACTAAGCTGACATTTCAGACGTTAGCCCTTTGTAGGGATGAAAGTAAATGTATCCTAGAGGGCCATTAGTATAAAATCGATGCCCTGGATTTGAAATACTTTGTCTAGAATTAAGCTTAGCTTTTGGGACTATAAGAACTGAGAGCAGAGATGACAAGGTCTTTCACCCAGAAACTTCCATCCACCGCCTTACCCTTGAGGCCAGGGTATCCAATTACGTACTACCGCACCCCACCCACAGAGGTCAGGGTTAAATTATTAAACCGTTAGGAAAGTATTTCCGAAGTGGGGTTATTTTTGGAGATTTGATTGAGGCCAAGGTTAAGGTTGTTTCTAGTGATAATAATACTATATAATAATAATTTATTCAAATAATGCATTGAAAAATACATGACTAATATTTGAAAAAGTGGACCTTGAGTTGTACAAGTCCCCTGATGTTGGATTCATCGAAGGAAGGAAAGAAGACTGATTTATACCTTTGCTTTAAAGTTACGTTCTTCTATTTGTAAGTCRTATGTTTTTAGTATAAGTCACTTTTCGCTTTAGCTTGAATTTCATCATCTTTTGTGTTTGTGATTATACTTTTACCGAGCTGCAAGCAAAATACAGATATTTACTCGCAAAAATTTGAGGATGTTTTTGTCGGAGTAAGTCGTGAAAAGTGCACCCATCCCATCCCCCATCCTGGCATCATTCATCCTTCCTTTACTCAGAGGCAGGGAAGTTGAGTTGTTAATGGCTTAATGTGTGATGAGGATAAGATAGACTGAAGATTTTAATCTTGAGTATTCGAAATGAATGTGTTCTCGGTAATCATTACAGTTCACCTTGGAGCATCGGTACTTCAGTAATACACGATAAAAATGTATTGCGTAACCTCGTTTTTTGTTTTGTTTTTTTTTACACACACGAGATTGGAAATGAAATGTGTCCGTATAACTAACTCTCTACCTGATGCGTGAATAGTTACGGAAGTTGATTCATACTCAGTTACAAAAATAATCAAAAATAACCGTTTAGTGAACACGTCTGTAACCGCTTGGTGCTGGCCTGGTGCCAGAACAAAACTACCTGTTTTAGTGCAGGAAACGTTTGGTCCACACCTATTAAATTATATCACAAGCATAGCTATAAAAATACCTTGACACTATCACAGTTTATGTCTTCCTCTTTATCTTTCGYCGTCTACTTGCGCAAAACGATGGCGAAGAGGGTAGGGAGGGAGGGGGCAAAAATGGGCCAATGACTACTTTTCCTAGAATGGAATTCAGAATCCATTTTTTTCTTCGTTACTCTTGAAAAGTTTGAAGCAATGGTTTGTAAAATTGGAAGCAATAGGCCGTTCGCATGATGACCTAATTTGAATACCAAAATGATCCATGAATTTTCTTTCTTATTCAAAATTTTAAAACAACTTATCGTAGTTGTAGTGTAGTTACCAGGCCCTCGCTGTAAAAACAGGCAGAAGGGGTTGGTAAGGAGTAGAACGTTCTGGCATATGCCTGATTCGATTTTCGGACGACGTGGAAGTGAATGTCTAATACAGAAAGAAAACAGGATGTAACAACGACCTTGTAACCCCATCTGCTCGAGGCGGGCTAGTGAATGTGGCTAGTACTTGATAGCGGACGTTGGTGATCAAGTTAGATTAACTTGCTGATCCATGGATTAGAGATTAAAACGGATCCCCTTGTTTTTAGCTTTCCTTTTTGGCCCCAACTAGTCAAAGGTGTTGAAGAGTATTTTGGTTTTTACACGGTAGCTGAACACGAAAACATAAATAATAAATAAATAAATAAATA